ATCTGAAGGTGTCTGTAAGGTGGGTTCCGTCTGAGTTGAATCCCGCCGATTTATGGGCCTCGTGTTTTTTTGATGAGAAAGGGGCTAAGGAGTCTCTTGGTGCGCTTCTTCCTGACGCACTTTTTTTCAGAGGGGTCCAGGTTCAAAGGTCCCCCTGAGGTTCGCGCTCCCTTCCGTTTTTTCTTGCCTGAGAATTATGTGCAGCGCCCCTTGCAGCGTGACCTTCAGAGAGCTCAGTCCGTTCTGCCCCTGTCGCCCAAGGAGTCCGACTGGTCTCCTGGTGCCCATGTTTGCTCCGAGCCCGTGTATTCGAAGGGCGGTCTGACGTCCTCGTATCCCGTTTCGGCTCAAACTTGTTTGCAGGCCCACTCCTTCGGCGGGCACTCGTCTTCGCATGCTGCGCCGAGGACTGCGGCGGGGGGCCCCGCTTCGCCCGGGCCCCCGGCGCGGCGACCGCGTCTGCTGGAGAGGGCCGCGTCGGCCGAGCCCGCGGCGCCGACTTCCCGACAGCTGGTGGCGCGAGAATCGGGCAGCAGGACTCTTCGAGGGCCGCAGCGCCTGCCGAGGCTCGCCGCGGCCCAGAGAGCGCAGGACTGGCAGGCCAGGCTGAGCTTGGCCGAGCTGCCGCCAGCGCCCAGGCTGCCCGCGCACGAACGCGACCTCCAAGCCCTCCCCCAGGGCTGGTCGCGACCGATCGTGGCCGACAGCGACGACGGCAGCAGCACCTCCGACGATCAGCAGGTCGTGCCAGCCGGCGAGAGGCGAGAGAAGGAGCTGCTGAGGAGGGCAACTCGGAGGCGACGTGCGCACGGCGCGGAGGCGGCGCTGGACAGCACGGCGGTGGAGGGCCAGACGTTCCTGGAGAGGCGGTCGGTGTTCGGGCCTGCGAGGAATCGCTACACTCAAGAGCTGGAAGCCTCCCTGGATTATTGCGATCGGGGCCCGCAGCGGGCCTTGACCACCGCCTCAGAGGTGGGCGAGGCGATGGTCGACTACATGAACCATTTGTTCTTCGAAGGCCACGAGAGCGCCAAGGGCGATCAGGTGATGGCAGGCCTCATGCACAGGTTCCCGGAGTTCTCAAAGCAGGGCGAGGCCAAAACCCTTCGGGCCTGGAGGTGCCTCCGAGGATGGCGCAAGCTGGCGCCCGGGCAGAGCCGCCGCGCATGGCCTTTGGCCCTCTGGCGCGGGCTCGCCTGGCGCATGGTGGTGCGAGGCGCGCTGCAGATGGCGGTGTTCCTGCTCACGATGGTCTCCGGCAACTTCAGGCCCAGCCATCTGCTGACGCTGACGAGAGGCAACATGATCGCGCCTGCGATGGGAGTGCGCCGCTGGCGGTCGCTACTGCTGTTCCCAGACGACAAGCCCCAGAGAAGCAAAACAGGACTGTCGGACGTCGGGGTGATGTTGGACAGCGGATGGCTTCAGTGTGCCATGCCCATCTTCCGAGAGCTCGCACGAGGGGATCCCGAAGAAAAGGTGTGGGCGTTCAGTTACCCTCAGTTTCTGGCAGTGTTCAGGAAGGCGCTGAGCGACCTACAGATTCGGGAGCACATTGTCCCGTATCAAGCCAGACACTCGGGGCACAGTATAGACAACGCTCGACGATACAGAACAATCGAGGATATGCAGAAGAGAGGCCAGTGGAAACATGCCAAGTCGATGCAACGGTACGAAAAGGCGGCGAGGTTGGGTCAAAGCTGGTCACTCCTGCCGCCCCAGCTGCAATATACTTTGACACAGTGCGAACAACGTCTAGAGGACATACTGCTCGGAAAAGGCGCAGAGACAATGACCCTTGTGAGGCGGTGCGGCCGCCAGCGTAAGTACATTTTAGACCTGTTCTCGGGTTCGAACTCGATAGGCAAAGCTGCTTTGAATCGGGGTTTCAACTACCATGGTTTTGATTGCCTCAACGGGCCCAATGAAGACCTTACTAGACCAATCGTGCTTGCGCGTGTTAGGACCGCTATATCTAGGCGTGAGGTGATTGCTGCGTCCCTTGGGCCTCCCTGTGCGTCCTGGGGAACTGCGGCTGATCGGGGTCGTCAGCCGGGTCGCTCGAAGGATTTTCCTTGGGGCCTCCCCGACGCCTCCGAACATACGACTAGATGAATCGCACAGGGAAATGCCACCTTCCGAGCCGCGTTGAAATTAATGAAGGCGCTTGCCCGCGCGCAGGTGCCCTTTGTTTTTGAGCATCCGATAAACAGTAGAGCCTGGCACACGCCTGAACTGAAGTCTCTTATCGAGCGTTGTCGCATGGATTCTCGAGTGCGCGATCAATGCCAGTTTGGGGCCCGCTGGAGAAAGCGCACGCGTTTCTTGTTCTTCGGAGTGGATCCCCAGGACACTTTCAAAGTCCAAAGGCGGTGCCACAGTTTTGGTGGTGTTTGCTCGGCTTCAGGGAAGCCCCACGTTATCCTGGAAGGCAAGGCCCCCTCTGGGGCCACGTGGACATCTCTGGCAGTTTCGTATCCTCCGAAGCTGGCTGACTGCATTGTGAACTGCTTATTGTGCCGCCACAGGGATCAAGAGGCGGCATCCTTCCTTTACCCCGCCTCGCCCTCCCAGAGAACCATTTGGGATTTTTGGCTGTCAGTTGCGTCCCAGCTTCGCCAAGACGAGTGGCATGTGGTAGCAAAAACGTTCCCCACCGAATGTAGCAGTTAACCTGTCAGCGCGTGCACGGGAAGGTTGTGAGCGGAATGACTTGATGAAACAGGTCAAAAAGAACCTATTGAAAAGGGGGGCCCCTGGACTCCATAGCCTTTCTTCGGTTCCCGCCCTCCCTTGTCTCCCTCTCTGCTCTGTCGCCAGGCTGTCAGTTGCGTCCCAGCTTCGCCAAGACGAGTGGCACGTGGTAGCAAAAGCGTTCCCCACCGAATGTAACAGTTAACCTATATATATACACACACATCCATACGGAACCTCTATACAGAACCAATTAACCAACACATATTAAACATCCAGGCGAAGGACCCAAACACATGTGCTTGTGAATACAATCGTTGTGAGCATCGCCTTCGGTGGATCTCCCCATAGGGCCATGAAGCGTGTGAGGGGTGTGCCGGAACGGACCGGGGGACCGGGCCGCCATCAGGGTGCTGTCGCTAAGGCCCTAGGTGGGGGTCCCAGTGTGGCCACGAAGCGTGTGAGGGCCGAAACGGGACGGCGGTGTCACCAGAGCCGTCCCACTGGGGCCTCAGGTGGAGCTGCTCTCTATGGGGCCACGAAGCGTGTGAGGGGTGTGCCGAAATGGAGCGGTGGTGCCATGCGAACCCTCCCAGTGGGGCCTTGGGTAGAGCTCCAGATTGGGCCACGAAACGTGTGAGCGGTGTGCCGAAATAGGGCGGTGGTGCCATGCGAGCCCTCCCATTGGGGAGTCAGGTGGAGCTCCCTATTGGGCCACGAAGCGTGTGAGGGGTCAGCCGAGATGGGGTGGGGCCGCCATGCGACCCTTCCACTGGGGCCTTCGGTGGAGCTCCCTATGGAGCCACGAAACGTGGGAGGGGTGTGCCGACATGGACATGTGGAGGGCAGAGACAGGGATGGGAGGAGGGAAGAGGGAGGAGGAGGAGGAGGAGGCGGAGGAGGATGGAGGAGTGAGTGCGGAACGCGGGGCGCTTTCGCTTCAAAACGAGGACCAAACACAACGTGATAATAGGGAATCGCAGAAGGAACGACAGACATTTATAGAAGAGGAGAGAGAGAGAGAGAAAGAGAGAGAGAGAGAGAGACAGAGAGAAACAAATAACGAGCGAAGTTGATCTATCTGATCTCTCTCTCTCTCTTTCTCTTTGTCTTCTCTTTCGCCGCGCGTGAAACGTGATTGCTGGAAACTTTCAAATCGCATCCCCCCGCTAATGCCTCGAAGCCCGCCCCCCACCCCCCACCCCCAGCGGAGAAGGGATCGAAGTCAAGTGGCTTCCCTTACCAATCTTATCGACTCGACGACGGCCTGGGTCGATTCACTTCGGGCTGGCTAGCTTGAGGAGTCCACAGGTGACCGCAGGGAAAGCAAGCATGCTGTTTCGAAGGGACAATGGTGGCGTCTCCCAGGACCATCCCTGGACGACCACCCCAGACCCTCGCACCCGCCGACAGGATCGGCGGATTTCTCCTCGAAGTGCAGGGGCAGCACTTTTCGATGACGAGGAGGCGTCTCGGGTGCTTCCGCAGGTGTCCCTGGCCCAAGGTGTCCCCAGGAGCTCCGGAGGGGCCCGCACGGCCTCTGGAGCACCCCATCGCGAAGCCCCTGGCGGGCTCCACGCGCTCCAGACCGGCGCGACAAGCCGGGCATGCTCTCCGTGGGCGAAGGACACATCCGCATACCCGCGGCCTCGCGGGCGGGATCCCTGGACCGTGATGCGCGCAAGACTGATATCCATAGCCAGTGCCTCTTGGACGTGTTTTTGGAAGCGGCGACACAAGGAAAAGGCGCACTGGATATGGATAAACATCGAGCCCCTAGGGGGCAGGTTTATCCATATCCAGTGCGCCTCGGGTTTCTTGGGACGGGAGCCCGAAACTCCATACTGCAGTGGATATAGACAGAAGTATTGCCCGCACATGACCCCGGGGATCTGGGGCGCGTTTTCGCGGAGGCCCCGCGAAGAACGCATCCGTGCGGCCGCGCAGCCGCGTGGATCGCGCCCTGGAGCCCGGGCGGCGCGGGAGCGGAGACGGATGCGGTTGCCGCCCCTCCTCCTCCTCCTCCTCCTCCTCCTCCTCCTCCTCCTCCTCCTCCTCCTCCTCCTCCTCCTCCTCCTCCCTCCTCCTCCTCCTCCTCCCCCTCCTCCTCCTCCTCCTCCCCCTTCCTCCTCCTCCTCCTCCTCCTCCTTTTCCTCCTCCTCCTCCTCCTCCTCCTCCTCCTCCTCCTCCTCCTCCTCCTCCCCCTCCCCCCGAGGGAGCTTGCCGCGTGGGGACAGGGGCGGCACAGGGAGAGCCCCGGCGGCCGGGCTATGGTGGGCCTCCCCGTGGCCCTCCCTTCGCTGCAGGGGTCGCCGGGCGGGCCCACGCCGCGGACACCGGTGCCGGGAGGCGGCCAGGCTTGCGAGGAGCCCGAAGCGGGGCTGAACGGCGGGGAGGAGGAGGGGGAAGGAGGAGGGAACACAGAAAGAGAGAAAGAGAGAAACAAAGAGAGAGAGAGAGAGAGAGAGAGAAAAGTAGACAAGGGGGGTTGAGCGAGGGAGGGAGAAGGAGAAGAGAGGAGCAGGCTGGGAGGAGGAGGAGGAGGAGGAGGAGACCAGGAGGAGGGGGGAAGGAAGGATGACGAAGAACGGGGAAAGACCAGAGGGAGGGAAGGAAGGAGGGAGGAGGTGGGAGAATGGAGGAGGAAGCGCGGGGGAGGGAGGGGGAGTGGGAGGGGAACAGAAGGGAGCCGAGGGGGGAAGGAGGGGAAGGAGCGATGAGAAAGAAAGAAGGAGGGAGGGCGGATGGTGGAGGACAGGGTGGAGGGGGCCGGAGGAAGAGGAAATCGAGGATGAAGAGGATGATGATGATGATGATGATGATGATGATGATGATGATGATGATGATGATGATGATGATGATGATGATGATGATGGTGATGGTGATGGTGATGATGCTGATGCTGATGCTGATGCTGATGCTGATGCTGATGCTGATGCTGATGCTGGTGCTGATGCTGATGCTGATGCTGATGCTGATGCTGATGATGGTGATGGTGATGGTGATGGTGATGGTGATGGTGATGGTGGTGGTCGTGGTGATGATGGTGATGGTGATGGTGATGGCCTTGGTCATGGTCATGATGGTGATGGTGATGATGATGATGATGATGATGATGATGATGATGATGCTGATGCTGATGCTGATGCTGATGTTGTTGATGATGCTGGTGGTGGTGATTCTGATGGTGATGCTGATGCTGGTGATGGTGACAGTGATGGTGATGATGGTGATGGTGGTATTGGTGATAATGAGGGTGCTGATTATGATGGTTATGATGACGATGACGATGATGATGACGATGATGATGATGATGATGATGATGATGATGAAGGTGGTGGTAATGATGATGCTGATGTTGTGGTTGTGATGATGTGTATGCTGTTGCTGAGTATGATTATGATGAGGATGATGATGATGATGATGATGATGATGATGATGATGATGATGATGATGTTGATGATGCTGATGATAATGATGATGGCACTGTTGTTGATTATGATGATGGTGATAATGCCTGTGATGATGGGGACGATGGTGCTGATGCTGCTGATGATGATGATTGTTATGTTGTTCTTGATGGCGATGCTGACGATGCTGATGATGAGGATGACGATTATGATGATGGTGATGATGAGGAGGAGGAGGAGGATGAGGTTGATGAGGACGAGGATGAGGATGAGCATGATGCTGCTGGTGCTGCTACTGATGGTGATGATGATGATGATGAGGAGGAGGAGGAGGAGGAGGAGGAGGAGGAGGCGGAGGAAGAGAAGGAGGAGGACAAGGAGGAGGAGGAGGAGGAGGAGGAGGAGGAGGAGGAGGAAGAGGAGGAGGAGGCGGAGGAGGAGGAGAAGGAGGAGGTGGAGAAGGAGGACACGGAGGAAGGACAAAGGGAGACGGAGGAAGTAGGCGGGTGGCGCGAGGGGGGGGGTGGGAGGAGGGTGGTAGAGGGTTGCCAGCGGCGAAGGAGGTTGAGGACGAGGAGGATACCACGCTGCAGGGTAAAATGCCCCGCGGTGCGCCAGACAACCACTTTAAATTGAGGGCCCACAGGGAGGACCTCCGTCGTTTCAAAGGCCGCCTCAGGCCCACGAACTGGATCACGGCCTGAGGCGCGAGCGAAACAGAAAAGGCGATCGACGATCGCCGCAGCAGGGAGACGGATGGCGGTGCAGCAGGGAAGCGGAGGCCGCGGGGGACACTCGCCGGTGCACCTCTTCTCGCACCTTGAGCACCGCCGTAAGTTTTAAGATGTCGGTATGCCCGACATCAGAAATGGATCTCGCTTGCCCGGGTCGGAGCCGGTGCGTTGCAGCATCGGAGGCTCGCAGCGGCCTGGGGGGCAGGAATGGCGCGCCCCTCTCGGGCCGCCCGTCGTCGGCAGCGTGCCCACCCCCGGGGCGAACACTTCCTGTCCCGAGCCGCACGAGCCTGCAGTCGAACGACTGCCACAGGATGGCAGTCCACCAAAAGGTGGCCCGCTACAGTCTCGGGCCGGACGAAGGGGGGTGATTGGGAAAGGGGGGGGGGGTACGAAATCTGCTGCATGCAGCCGGTTTCGGCCCCACCGAGGGGCCCAGTCCTCGATACATAGCCGCCTCCGGCGCCGAGAGGCGCCGGGAAAATTAGCTCACGTGTCCTCTCGCGTGTCCTCTCCAATCAAGTCCGACTGTAGGCCGGTGGTGTGAAACCCACACCGGACTCACAGCACAGCTCGCCCCAGGGGAAACCCAGCACCCGTGTCCTCGAGCCGCTTCGGGAGGGACAACTCCTTAGGGAGGCAGGCTCGCGGCAGGGGCAGAAGTAGTTGCGAGCGTCGGGCGACTGCTCGGATTGGCCACCAGACGCCGTCTCCTAAGACTCGGGCACGAACGCGGGCCCCGAGCGTTCTGGGATAAGCAGCTCACGGGCAGCTCGGCTCGCTCGAGCGCATCACCATCAGGGGTGCTAGACATGACGATGAGATCGAAAGAAACACGCCTCCGAACGGATCGCCCATAAGCGGCATCACTCGAGGAGGCGTCACCCACAACAACATCACGCACACGGCGAGGGGACCGACTCGAGTCCGAGACGTCGAGCGGGGGAGGGGTGGCATCAACAGCAGGGTCGCAAGGGAGGGCCCTCTCGAGCAGCCCAGCCTCCTTCCCGTAAGCCCCACAGGGCAGAGGGCGCTCGACACACCACTTTGGCCGTCTCCCTCGTGAGCGAACGAGGGCGAACGTTGCGGCGATGGCCTCGCGTGCTCAGCCCCATAGCCCGGCAACGGAGCCGCAGAAGCGCAGCACCCACCACCAACCTCAGGAAGCTGACCAGCTTGTTAGCGACCATCGCCCGCGAGCGGGCAGGGCAGGAGAGGAGAGAGAGAACCGATGGACAACCTTCGGTTACTCGGCACCCCTCCTGCAGAGAGTGCGTCTCATGATCCGGCGCCCCACAACGAGACTTCGGTCGGGGAGGGCGACATCCTTTCTTATCGCGAGGACGCGCGAGTGTGCGCCCCGCCCCGTCAAACACCATGAACACCTTCACCATCCAGTGGAGACAGGCAACAAAGCTACCTGTGAGCGATCTTCATCGCCCGCCGACGGGGGCGAGGCGCACAGCGGAGGTCACGGCCACTCGTGGCCGCGCAGTCAGCTCACATGTTTCCCCTAGCGAGCTCCCTTTGGCCCGGCTGGTGGCCCTTGACAAGCCCAACCCTAAAAGTGTCATGGAGGCTTCAGGTCTTCTAACTTGCCCCAGATGGCCTCCCACAGGCCAATCTTCTTCCTCCCAGGAGCTAGACATCATGTGGGCCCCCTGTGGAGCCCATCCACGAGGCCTTTCAAGTCACTCGGGATCTCCATTGACAAAACCTTCACAACTTGCAGGACGGCACATTGCAGCGCATGGTGACGTTTGTGTCGGGCCTGGGAGGGCCCCACAATGGCGGTGCACATCAGGAGGGCACGGCGAGGACAGGCTGCAGGGCACAGGGCTCTCAGAGGGGCCTTCTTGTCAAGAAGGGAGGCCCCGCCCCCGCCCAGGGCCCCAGGCGCGCCGCCGAGAACAGGGCGAGGGCGAGGCTGGGGCAGGAGGAGGGGCGAGGCAACAGGTGGGAGGGCGGTGGGAGGAGGGAGGCGCGCAGCTGAGGGGGGTCGGGAATCTGGGGAAGGGGCGGGGCTTCCGAGGAGGGATGAGGAGGGGCGTGGAGGAGGAGGGGGAGGAGGAGGAGGAGGAGGAGGAGAGGAAAAGGTCATGTTGCTGTCTGAGTTTGCCGCCTCCGCACTTCCTGACAACCTGGGCGCGGTCTCAGCCAACAGGCTCGAGGAGGCGCTGGAACGATACAAGCTGCTGGAGTCCGAAGCCATCGCCGCTCTGGCCGATGCCAGGGCTGCTTCCCTAGCGTCCCCTGCAGATGCTGCACAGCAGATCCGGCTCAAGGCCGCCCAGAGTGCCTTGGTCCGGTCACGGTTGACTTCGCGACGATGGGCTGCGATGGCCGAGCTATGTGCACCTCGAACGTGATTTGAGATGATTGGAAGCTCATCGAATGGGATGTGAGTTGAGCCGGGAGTGCAGCTGCGTAGTTGCCTCTGTCTGTCGCGCTGTGATGCGCAGAGCTTCCGAGCTGCTGGACGCCGCTCGAATTGCTGGGGGTCCTGGGGGCCGGGTTTCCGCGGCTGGGCCTTTGGGGGCCCTTTGTCCTGGGGTCGTCGGGTTCCTGCCTGCGCTTCCTCCCCCCTGCGGCCTCCCTCTCTTCCTGCTCTTTCTTTCTTCCTCCTTTTTTCTCCCCTCTTGGGGGGGTGCGTTGGCGGGTTCCTGTTCTGGTTCTGGGGTCTCTGGGGTGTCTCTTGGGTTCCTCGTCGCCTCTGTTTCCATCCTGCTCTATCTCGCCCTTTTCCCTGCATCATAGGCTTCGACTCTCTTGCCTACGAACGAACGAACGAACGAACGAACGAACGAACGAACGAGGAGGAGGAGGAGGAGGAGGAGGAGGAGGAGGAGGCGCGTAGAGGTCGAGGAGGAGTAGGAGCAGGAGCAGAAGCAGGAGGAGGAGGAGGGGGAGGGGGAGCAGCAAGAGGAGAAGAAGGGGGAGGAGGAGCGAGAGTTGCGAGGGTTGCGATGGTTTCGAGTTTTGCAAGGCGCGAGGGGCGAGGAGGAGGAGGAGGAGAAACCAGGAGCGAGGAGCGAGGAACGATGAGGAGCGGGAGGCGGAGGTGGAGGCGGAGGAGGAGGAGGAGGAGGAGCTGCGGGTGGCCCTCGGGCTTGCGGGCGCCTCCTGGATCCCCGACTATGTGCTCACGGGCCTCGGCATCCTGTTCCAGGTACCCGGGTGTCCCAAGTGCCCCGTCGCCACCGCCCGGGCCATCGCGGCCAGAGCCCACGCTCTGGGGGACGTATGGGGGCCCCAGCCAGCCCAGAAACGTGCCAAGACCAGATGGAGCAAACTCTGCAAATGGGCCGCGGGCGGCGTTCGACGGCAGGGGCCAGCCAGGCCAGGCTCCAAGGTACTCACAGATAACAGGGCCGCCGAGCTCTTGACTCGTGCGCTACGGGAACCTCACAGGATCCGGAGCCGTTACTTCGGCAGGGTGGAGGAGGAGGAGGAGGAGGAGGAGGAGGAGGAGGAGGAGGAGGAGGAGGAGGGAGGAGCAGCGAGGAGAGGAGCAGCGAGGAGGACGAGGAGGAGGAGGAGGAGGAGGAGGAGGAGGAGGAGGAGGAGGAGGAGGAGGAGGAGGTAGTGTGCGAGGAGGTAGTGTGCGAGGAGGTAGTGTGCGAGGAGCGAGGAGGCGCAGCAGGAGATGGAGCACACGGCCGCGGGCACCCCCAGCATGCGGCAGCAGCTGGAGCAGGCGCGCGCCACCTCGCGCGACGGCCTACAGGCCGCGGAGGAATGGAAGCGTCGCCACGACAGGCCGCCCCGCCCCGGCCGGAACACCCGTCCTGGAGGAGGAGGAGGAGGAGGAGGAGGAGGTGGAGGAGGAGGTGGAGGAGGAGAAGGAGGATGAGCTGGAGGAAGAGGAGCAGGAGGGGGAGGATGAGGGGGACGGGCGAGGAGGAGTAGAGGGAGGGGGGCTGGGGGGAGGAGGAGGAGGAGCAGGAGGAGGAGGAGGAGGAGGAGGAGGGGGAAGATGAGACATTCCCGACATTTCACAGGGCACACGCTATACTTCGGCTAGGTAGCAGACTCCAGTCTACGATCTTGATCTCCCACGAGTGCTACTTCGCTTTCGACACTGACCGCCAGAACATCGAGTACTGACTTGTTTCCTAGTATAAGGCGATCGCTAACATGGATCAAGGGGGCGTGGATTAGCGACGGGTCTCGTTTTCATGGAAAATCGCGGATTTCCGCCGCCGAGCGAGGCGGTACCAGCCGCACTTTGGGGAAGGCACCTCCCCCGATCCATGGATTTGGCGACCGCGCGCCAAATCCACGGATCGCTAATCCAAGCTTGCGCGCTTCCGACACTACCTCACCTCATTCTCTCAAAAGCTTGCACACCGCCGTATTGTTTTCGTTCCCTGGTCTCTCTATATTGTTTGGGTAATCTAATTACGTATTTCAATATTCTAATTTTCAGGTGGGGCGGGGAGGAGCGCCCACCAGCATATCGGGCCCCCCTGGACTCCAGGGAGTTGGCCCCATAGATTTGAAGGAACCCTGGGACACACAAGTAAATAGAGCAAGCAACAGGATTCCCCAACTTTGAACATGTTTTCTGGGTTGTTGGCTTCCCCCCCACTTCCATATGTTCTGGGGAATCGGCGATGAGTTGTAACTGTGTGTGTTTGTTCTCTATTGAAGATTTGAAGCGTTGCCAGCACTGAGCGCTACCCATCATCTGACTACGGTATGCCACTTTCGGTCATCCCGCGCAATTCGTAAGGCCAGCCAGTGCCGATTGAGCTGGCCGATCATGGCAAACATACGCTTGTCCTATAGAGTTGGGTGGGGGAGGCCATGAAAGATTGGCACGCCCTCCTCACATCACACGCCGTTTCATTATGCCTCTTGCTATTTCAATGCACTTTGCACGTCTGCATATCATTATAGCTGTGCCAGCCACCGCGCAGAAGGTACTTTGTCAAGCTAGCTTGCCTTACATGGGTTGCAGCGGAGATTAGGTCATGGATCGTGGTGGGCAGGAACGGATGAGATCTCTCACTGGCGCCGCTTTGGCGCCGCAGCCAGCAGCCGCAAGGAAGTCAACAGCTAGCCACCAGAACCCACGTTTCACCAGCCACTGACTCCACAATGGCTCCATCGAGTTCTGACTAAATCCGAAAAGGAGACTGCGAAAAGCACGAGGGTAAGGGGGACGAAGAGGTTTTGGGTTGACCGATAAACCTTGCGTAGCAGCCCAAAAATTGCCGCTTGCACCGTGCGTGCCATAAGTGCATATTGCCTTCGGTGACGGCCACATTGGATGGAAAGATGGGGCACGTGGATTTGGGACACTTCAGTCTCTCACACCCAATGCAGTAAGCCAAGCCAACGTCTTACCACGCTCAGGCTAGCCTAGTGCACATCGCCAGCCGATCAAATCGCACGCCTTGATATGGGGGGTGCAATCAAATACGTTCATTGTGTTCACTGCCCGTACCAGGGGCCAGCTTACCAATATTTGAGCAGATTAAGTTTCAAGCCTCGCTCGCACATGCATTGGCCAGTTCACATGTTTCGAGGTGGGGTGGGCGACTCTGGAGGTGAAGGACAACGCTACACTGCCCAGCCTATATAGAGCCAGCCTGTTGAACAGAGTCTTTCCGAGGGCAGCTACTGTAGCGACTTGCGGCCTCGTCTTTTGTGGCAC